CTAGTCTTACACTGCTAAATTATGGACGGCTAGCGCAGATAGCCCTCGTGTAGCTTTGCGCGAAATTCAAAACAAACAATCAGGAATATTATTACGATATATAATTAAATACATTACCAAATAGATGAATTATTATATTATCACGAGTCTTATTGTTCTGAGCATGTTTTGTAAAGTAGTGAAAGGAATATTAATAGTTTGAATTTTTAATCCACGAAACTGAGCAGACATAATAATATAAGTACTTTACCATATGAGGCCTTAATTTCATTACGTTTATTTATATTATCTCCCTTGGTTACATATAAATATAAATAATAACTAGCAGATGCCCATTGAAATAAATGAACGACAATTTTCCTAAAAATAATTATGAATAATATAAAATGTGCAGTCAACCCAATCCCTTGGATCAGAGCGTAAATGCAATATGATTGTCTAGTGGGCAGTTTACAACCATCTTTTGTCATGTGTTATTTCGATAAGGAAAATTACATTGCGTTTATTTTTAAGCAAAGGAGACAGACTGCAACGCATTGTTGGCAAAAATGTTTTCTGATGCACAGTAGAGCACTCAGATTTGCTAAGTAGTTGCGGGATTTTTTTTTCCGCTGGATGCCACGATTCCTTGTCATTTTACTGAGTCCAAGAAAAGACTGCTACTGAAGTGAGCGCTTTTTGACTGTATCAAAAGAAGCATTTTGCTACATAATTTTATCCCCACGATTAATCGTTCAGGAGATACAGAACGTGACAGACAGACAGATATTTGGTTATTTTATATATATATATATATGTGTGTGTAGAAGATAACAGTAGTTTTCTCGTATAGTTTTCAATCTTTTTTTGTTTGTTTTTAAATCAATGTATGAATAAATTTTCAAATAATCTAAAACACATTAGTGAATCTTTATTGTTGCTTTTGAAAGATTAATATGGTTTTACTGCAATTATATATATTATAAAACAAACCTGTATTTTATTGTAGTTTACTCACTTTACAAAAAAGGCATTAAAAATAACTTCTTGTTGTAGATCATATCATCAATGGCTACTTCACGATCTTTAGAGAAAAAACTGGACCAGAAGGTGGCGTTAATCACAGGTTCGTCAAATGTAATCAACCATTATTGTATATTATAACAATATAAACGTCTGATATGATAAATTTAAATTTAAATAAACGACATCTTACTGATATTTTCCGTCTCTTAAATCTTTAAACCTCTTTCTTCTTTTATAAATTAAAATACTTGATTGGATATCTAAATTTTAGGTGCTAGTTCAGGGATAGGTAGAGCCACTGCTGTGTTGTTCTCACGCCTGGGAGCGAGGCTAGCTCTGACTGGAAGGAACCAAGAAAATTTGACAAAATCTGCTGAAGAATGTGAAACAGCTTCACCTTATAATCTAAAGGTTTGACTAAACATTATATAACATAGACGTATTTAAAACATAAGGAATGTTTAAATAATAATTATTGAAAATGTAGTAATTTATAAATAACCTTATAATCTAAAGGTCTGACTAAACATTATATAACATAGACGTATTTAATAAATAAGAAATGTTTAAATAACAATAACTAAATGTAGTAATTTATAAATAACATTATAATCTAAAGGTTTGACTAAACATTATATAACGTAGAAATATTTAATACACAAGAAATATTTAAATAACAATAACTAAATGTAGTAATTTATAAATAACCTTATAATCTAAAGGTTTGACTAAACATTATATAACGTAGAAATATTTAATACACAAGAAATATTTAAATAACAATTACTGAATATGTAGTAATTTATAAATGACCTTATAATCTGAAGGTTTGACTAAACATTATATAACATAGAAATATTTAATAAATAAGAAATGTTTATATAACAATTACTGAATGTAGTAATTTATAAATGACCTTATAATCTGAAGGTTTGACTAAACATTATATAACATAGACGTATTCAATACATAAGGAATGTTTAAATAACTATTACTAAAATGTAGTAATTTATAAATGACCTTATAATCTGAAGGTTTGACTAAACATTATATAACATAGACGTATTTAATAAATAAGGAATGTTTAAATAACAATTATTGAAAATGTGATAATTTATAAATGACGCCATATTGGTTTTTAACTGAACTAAAACATGTTCATATAAATTGGAACTGTTGTTACCAGGATGAAGAGGTTATTGAGCAGGACAGACTTGAGTTTGGCTTAGTTTGACCTTTAAGTGACATGGGGGTGGGGGGGGGAGTGAAATAGACTAATATATTGTTTTGCTTCTAAGAATTACGTATTCTTTGATAGATACGTAATTGTATTCAGCCCGAAAAAATTGTTTAATAAACAAACAAATAAATGCATACAGAGAAATTAAATAAAGAACCCCAAAAAGTGTTACTAAAAGTTCCAAAGTTCCGTTCAAAAACATTTAGATCAAGTTGATACCTAATTACCGATCAAATATTTTTGTAGGCTTAATACACCTATTTTAAGTCATGAAAAAAAAATTATCTGATATTTAATAAAATTATAAATATTTTTAGCTAAATCTCCACTTTTGTAAATTCACGCCATATGACGTAAAATCGTCAATCTCTTCTGTTTGTTTGTTTGTTGGTAATTATGCACAAAGCTACACAATGGGCTATCTGTGCTGTGCCCATCACGGGTATCGAAACCCGGTTTCTAGCGTTCCAATCTCTTCTAAAGAAAATATTTGTGTTACATCTCTCTGTATGGACAGGAATTTATTAAATATATTGTTACGTCTCCGTTTGTTAATTAACTTTCCGTAACTTCGTTCCGACGAAACTTTAGCGACACAAGTCTTTACTTAATAAAACTGGTTTATTCTTTCCGAATACAACTTCACGATACACTTGATTCC